ATGCTAGGGGTAAGCTATTAGTAAATTGCAAATGGCCAAAAAAGTGCATGTGCATCAAACATACATGACAACCCCCTCCTCTTCCTTTTAATACCACCAGTGTAATATTTGCATCAGTGGAGGACCTAAGGAACAAAGGGCCCTGGTGCAAGATTTGATCTTAGAGCCCGCCCTTTTCCGGCTCCCAGGAGCGGATCTCACTGGCCCCCCAAGCCCCCCTGGCTGTCTCTGCACCAGAGGAGTTTATACTCTAATGTCCCCCCCACCGTCTAACACTATTATTATACATTCATATAGCTCTAACATATACCGCAGTGTTGTACAGAGAACACGGAGCCAGTCACATCCGTCTGTGTACAGAGGAGCTTATACTCCCCCAGTCACATACACACTATTATTATTAAGGATGCACCAATACTGGGCGGCTTCTTGATTGCCTGGGAAACTGCCTCCATGCTTTTTAGCCAGCTCCATGCTGATTGGCTGGGAAGCTAGCTTCCCGGCCAATCACCATCAAGGTGGCCAAACAGCATGGAGCAGGTTTCTCGGCCAATCAGGAAGCTCTAAAACTCTAATGCAGAATGGCACCGGCCGTAGAGGGACTACAAATCCCAGCAATATATTATACAGCAATGCAGAATATGTCAGTGGGCCACCGCAGCCTTGGGCCCTGAGGCGGCCGGATCACCGTTAGTTTCGCCCCTGACTTGCATGCTGTGGGTATAGGAGCATGTTCTCACTGTGCATGCGTGGGTTTTCTCCCACACTCCAGAGACATGCAGGAAGGTTAGTTGGCCCTGTATGAATACATGTGAGATAGGGACCTCAGATTGTAAGCTCTTTGAGGGCAGGGACTGATGTGAATGTACACTATGTAAAGCTCTGCATATATTGCTGGCGCTATATAAATACATGTAATAAATAAAGTTTATGTAGTGAGTGCTGCCTTCTGTCTCCCCATCACTTTCATCAACTTCCTGGATTCCCAGTGTGTTTTGCATCTCTTTTCCTGCTGCTTGATGTGATGCAGTCTCTATTTCTCAAAATTACATAGCCCATAATGCATTGCATCCAGCAAGCAATGATGATGCTGCATTGTTCTGACATTGAGTTATAGTTCAGAAGGCAGGCTCTTTGACAGTGGTGGCACAAGGAATTGCATATTCACAGTGCTGAGTGAAATTGTGTCAGTGCATTGAGGAAGTACATCGTATGGGCATCTTCATGAAATAAGTATACAAACTTCTAGATCAATATGGTTATCAGGAGTGGGATAGAACTTATAGAAATACAGATTTATTTTTTGTTGTTGACCATAGATACCCTTTTAAATAGTATTTTTACAGTGATGTATACATCAGACCAAAAAGAGGGACAACAGAGGAGGAACGAGGGATTTGGTTCCTAAATGAGGGAGAGTTGGGATTTCTGCATGTGGGGGCTTGGTGTGGGGTCGTGCCACCCAGTGGAGTCACAAGGGGGGTGCGGCCCGCACCTGGGTGACACCATTGGAGGGGTTACACCAAAATGACTTACAGTCATTTTGGTGTCACCCCCCTCTGAAATGTCGGGCGCTCGGTCATGGACCGAGCGCCCGACAGTATCAGGAGAGAGAAGGGGACCCGGCGGCATACCTTATCCCGCCGGGTGACTGTCCCCTTCTCTCTCTGCCGGCGTCCATCACCAAGATGGCCGCCGTCAAGGTATCAGAATACTGCCGCGTGTGCGCGATGACCTCTCGGCGGGGTGACACTCGGTTACCGCTCCGGGTGTCACCCAACCTCGGGACGCCGCTGGTGCCACCCATCCGGTTTTCACCCGGACAGCTCAGTTTTGGAGTCTTATGTCCAGGTGTACAGCCAGCGGGCACCCGGACACAAGACACTCAATGCCGACACCGGCACTTTACATTTTCTGACAGATGCAGCTGCCAAGGTCCTCGGCAAGCGCGACCTATGGCAGCCGCATCTGTCTGAAACCCGGATCTTTCTCCGGGCTGTGGGCAGCCTGTCCCGCAGCTCAGGGAAAGATCCAGGTTTCAGGCAGATACGGCCGCCTGAGATCACGCTTGATGGGGACCTCGGCAGCCGCACCTGTGATTGCTCCTCCTCCTTCAGTTCCCTGACACCATGCTGCCCCCTTGCGAACCCATGGTGAGACACCATAGCCCAGACATATCTGAGAGTCGCACAGCCCACCTGAGAACCTGCACAGCCCACCTGGAGACATTGTGGCGCCAACCCAGAACAACATTGTGTATGTAGCTTCAAATTATTTTGTATTGCTGTATAATGCATTGCTGGGATTTGTAGTCCTCTATAAACTGTCTCCTTACTCCCTCCCCTGGTTGCCTCTCCTCGACATTTTTTTCCGCACACAGCGCTAGAGTGTTCAGGTTTCACTTGAAGAAAAGGTGGCAACCCCAGGTCTTGGGCTTTGCACATGACAGGGACAGATTGTGAACCTGTAATTATAAGAAGCCCTGCAGCCAAAATTTAAACACTGGGTGCGGCTGCCTAATAATTGGTCTGATCCGGGCCCTGTGCTTAATATTTTAATCTGTTAGTCATGCGGTGTGTAGCCAGAGAGGACTCAAAAGGGGTTTCCAGAAATGTCAGTTGCTATTATGCTGAACATCTGATTTCTAAAAATCCTAATGCAATATTTGTGTTTTACAGAAAGTAGCTGATAATGATGCCTTTCATGAGCTGGATTGTAGATAGAGCTCCATGAGATGGCGGTTTTCTGTAAAGCGCATGCATTGCATATTATAGTCTTCTTTCAAGGTTAAAGCTGAATTGCAGGCACAGAAACTTTCATTTAAATATTTTCCTCAATAGTCAAAAAGGATATAAATCCTTGCACCAAATGCCTTTTCAAACCCAGATATTAACTTGTAACAGAACCAATTAAAATATAACTGTGCTGAGAGCAGAGCTGTGGGAAGGGCCCAGCAGGCTCCACCCACTACAGGTTACCTGCAAATAACTACAGTAGGGGGCATATACTGGACCATATAGATACTCCCACCAGCACACCTGTATTTCTTCATCCAAAAGAAACGTCTTTATTGACGCTTATTTCAGCAACGTTTCAGAACCTTGCAGGGTCCCTTTATTCAGGCAATTAGTGACTAATACAAGGCGGTTCACCCTTCACTATGAGAGAGCAGGATCATCAGCCATCTTCATTGGTCAGCCCAGGGTGACATAACTCCTGGAAAATGTGCAGCTCAGTGTGCAATATAAAGAGTTTTGTGAGCAGGCAGGTAAGAAGCATTTATTGCAGAAGAGACACAGGGGCCATATTTTTAAACCAGAGAATCTGATATTGAGCAAACATTCTCTGCAGGTGAATCTGCCAGGTGCATGTGTTTTAAATAACATTGATTGATTCACCATCAGAGAATGTTTCGTAAAAGCCGCATTCACTGCTCTATAAATAGACCCTCTAGTATGTCTCTTCTGCAATGAAAGGCCTACCTGCTAGTTTTATTGAAGTAAAGTTCCAATTCTACATGATCCATGGAATTACATCCTCGGTGCAGCCCACCGCCTCCCATGGCCGCTGCACCTGTCACACAAGGATAAAGAGGCTGAAGAGTTTTACTAGAGGGTGGACAGAGCCTGATGGGGAAGCTGAGTGAATAGTTCCCCATCAGGTCTGCCCTGGTACTGATTGACAGCAGACAGTGAGCAGATTCCATAGCCAATAGCAGGCTGTCTAATGGCTATGAAATCTGCCCACTGCCTGCTGTTTATAACTAGGGCAGTGGACCTGATGGGGAACTAGTCCCTCCATTTCCCCAGGCTCTGCCCACTGTCATTGCACAGCTGACAGCCGCCCAGCAACCACTAATGCATCCCTGGCCCCATTCAGCTGCCAGGTGTGAGACTCCCCAGCTGACAGCTAGATGGGGGGTTGCTGGCTGTCATGACCATGACCATACTTGGTCAATTATGTCACCCAGCATTCCTTACCTTTTGTTTACATTTAGCTGTCAGCTGGGGAATTTCTTGACCGGCAGCTGGATGGGACTGGGGGTGTCCTATCAACCAATGATGACAGCTCACTGGCATATACATGTCCCACTCCGAGCACTGCTGCTTCTTTGTATGCCAACTCAGATTTGGTCCGTAAACTGGCGGTATTTTTATTTATTATTTGTTGCAAAATAATGACAGGTTCTTAAAATGGCGCTATTGAGAACTACCTGAGTTTGTCACAGGTTTTTGTAAAGCTACAGAAACTGGTGACATTTATAATTTGGCACAGGACAATTTAAAGGACCATACCTTCAGAAAAGTGGGGCAATGTCTTAACTGAATTCCCCCCATGTGTATTAGTAATAAGCCACGCCTTTGAGACAAGTCAGCCACACCCACCTTTGTCATGGCACCATCCCCTTCTCATCTTATACATTTTTCCCCAGGTAGACCTTTCTGCCTGCCCCCAATATACTGAATAGAGAGATTTACCATCAATTTCTGGGGACGCAGACTGCAGGTATAAACCTGGCAGAGGCCCATTTTTACTGCCCTGAGTATTATTATTATTATACAGGATTTATATAGTGCCAACAGTTTGCGCAGTGCTTTACAATATAAGGAATACATTACAATCACAATACAATTCAAGACAAGGTGGTAAGGAGGGCCCTGCCCATGAGGGCTTACAATCTAAAAGGGAGGGAGTAGAAAATGTTTTGTTTGTATTCGTCGGGCTTCATGGCTCCGGCATTTAAGGCGCTCTATATGCCCAGAGTAGTGCCTGCTGGGTCTCCTTTCAACTGATCCCATTTTGTTGGCCTGTCATTGAGAAGAAGAAAAATAAGCCGCTCTGGGCATTTTAGCCTACCTCCGTTATGTATCCCACCAGCACAATGGCTCCCTTCCTGTGGGCGACAGCTGACAGGCTTAGGCACCACCCCCCGCTCGTCATTGGCCGCTGCTGGCGGAGCTGGCACCAGCTGACGTCAGCACGCAGGGAAGTCTGACGTACCAATGTACACGTCGGCGAGCCGGATGTCAAAGATGGCTGCGCTGCCGAGTTAAGGGATAGTTTCCTTCGGAGCCGGGAGACAGCGGACAGCAGCCGGGCAGAGCTGGGCTGCAGGTGAGAGAAGACAGGGGCGCACGCTGGCGTCACAGAACGGGGCAAGTGTGGAGTGTCAGGGCTGCAGAAGCTCTCAGTTCCTGTGGGGCCCCCTCATAGCTCTGTGTGGCCCCTGAAGTGATTGGGTCTGGATTGGAAAGGTGGTGAGGAGCAGGAGGCATGCGTGGATATTGTCTGGCTGTTAATAAAATAGAGGCAGCTGTAAACATCATTGAAGTAACGAATCCTGCTTTAGGTTCCCTTGTAGAATTGTGCGACTCTTTACCACTATGTGGCCCCTAGCCTTCTAGGGCCCCTTGTGCAGGTATAGCTGGGAATAGAGCTGGGTTGGTTGTTGTTTTTGTGGGGGGTGACAGGTGATAGAATTGTTCTAGGCTGGTAAAGTTTCTGCCCTGTCCTGTGTTGATCTGTTTGGCCTCTGACATGCTAGGACCCCATCACTAGTAATGGGGGGACGACCAGGTGACCAGCATTCTGGTTGTATTTTTTGCCTCTTCAGACTCACAAATCTGTGTGACTCCATGCCCTGCTAGAGCCCTGCCTCTAGGACCCTGGGACCCAAACCAGTGAAAGCAAAATATTCTTTAGCCTGGGCGGTTTGCTTCATTTCTTTCACAAGATCTTCCTTTTGCTGTGCTGTCCATCTTATTTGTCTTTTTGCTTTTTCTTTTTCCTTGGATTGCTTACAGTAGAACTTGCAGAGGAATAATAATGGGACTCGAGTTATTTGTAAGAAGGCCAAAGAGAGCAAAAATACGTAGAAGCATTGACTTGTAAAGCAGATGCAATAAGAGTGATCTCTAGCAGTCTAATGTAATGTTTTTTCCAGTCTATGACTGTCGTTTGAAGCATGTCCCAAGTCCATGGTAACTCCAATAGCGCAGCTGCGGCCGCTGACCATGTCGTGCAGCGTGCCTGCATTCTGCTTTTTATAAAATGTGGCAGTAGAGGCATTGGCAGCTTGTATCTTTCTTTAAAAACTCTTGTTTTAGGTTGCCCTACATCTTTGGTTCTCAACTGGTGGGTCGTGACCCAAAAATGGGTCGCGACTCCATGTTCAGGGGGGTCGCTGCGTGCCTTCCACTTTTCTAGATGAGAGGCTCCTCAGCCTCCTCCTACCGCAGCACTGTCAGTTCTCGCACCAAGCAGCCATTCAAAATATGCTGCCTGGTGCCGAGTGTCAGCTTGGGGTGGGCTGGAGCTATGGCCACGAGGCAGCTCCATCCATATGTGCAGTGCTTGCAGCTCCCTCACGTGTCCTGTAGAGGTCCCTGGACTGGAGTGACGTCACATTCTGGCTCCCGGCACCTCTACAGGGCATGCAAGTTGTACAAGCAATGCACATTTTGGATAGAGCTCTGTCACAGCAGCCCACACTGGACCCCAGGCTGAGGATCCCCTCCAGTTCTTGTAAGGTAGGGAGACTGGGTGGATCGTACAAAAAAGAAAAAAAACAATTACATTTATTTTTTGAAGTGTGTATATGTGATTGTGTCTGTGATTGTGTGTGTCTGCCAGTGTTTTTGAGGGCCTGTTCACACTAGTACAGTGTTACAGTGTAATCAAACAGTCCTGTGCAATTACCACGCAATCACACTGACTACGCGCTCTGGTGCGGAAGGTGTGTTGCGTTGCCATTTGTTTGAATGACACCCCATACGTACCTCCTGCCCACAGTTCAATTGCCCGCACCGGAATGTGTGGTACTGCAATGCCGTGCGTTCCATTGCAATGCGTCGCGATTTAATGACCAAGCACATGTGGGTCCTGAGGTTACACAGGTTGAGAACCACTGCTCTACATAACCCCATCTATAAACGCAGTTACATGTAGTGAGATGGCAGGGCTGTTATTGGTAGCCGTAGACAATACTCAGGTCTTATGTTGCTGTAACCCCTCAATTGCTGGGGACACCTCTGTAAAGGAGGGCTAGTGAGCTTTGATTATGGAGTAGTAAGGGTCAGGGTTGTGCTCTAGGCTGCCTCAGGTGTTGCATAGGTCTCGCATTTCTTTTTGATATGGGGGACCGGGCAGAGATTGTTGATATAGGGGTTACAGATGACAAGTCTGTAGCTGGTGTGCTGTGTCCCAATCCTCCTAATTTGGGGGGCACTGTGTGTGTCATTTCTAACTTAAAGTGGCAAATGACAGAGCTGTATATAGGCAGCAGAGTCTTCAGCTGGGCCACATCTCTTAGGTCCTATGTGTCAGTCCTCTGCCATGCATAACAATACCACACCAATGTTCATTTATAAAGGACACGTGTGTGAGATACTATGTGTGAGATGACAAGGTGGGAAGTGGCATCTTTGGCTGGCTTGGATATTCCTATTAGTTCTCTGCTGTCCTGGACAAGTCAGACCTGATCAGAGGCCAATGTGTAATCCTCTGCCGCTCAAGAGGAGTTTTATTTGGTGCCACATGATAACTGTAAGGCATGCCATGGATCAAGACCTCTGTTGCCTAGACTGGAACCCTTTTCAGTTATATATTTTTCAGCATATATTTGAGTGGTATGCCAAGGGCCATTACAAGCGCCTTATTTTTTGCAATGACGTTTTTGTTTCCGATCACGCTAGTAGCTCGTAGAACATCTTCCTGCAGAGATGAGCACAGTTTGTTAGAAAAGTGATTTTTAAAGGAAGGTAATGGAATCATCTGTTCATTGGGGCCATACTGATGTCATGTACCCTGGGGCTGTGGATGAGGAGGTAGACTGCATGAAGATAGGCTGCTGTGTTTAAGGATACCAGATATGCTTTCTGTATGTGACATCTGTCACGGGTCATCCACTTCCTGCTCTGCAATAGTCTTCTGTCTGCAGGCTGTGCAGTGGCTGCATTTATCAGGGAAAATAGGTCCTTAGGCTGCCTGTTAAACACCAACTCATCCACCGCAAGTGCAACCTTATCTTCTAAGTAAATTCACTTCTATGTTTATCATTTAAAAAGACTGGAACAGTTGTCCATGGCAACCAATCAGCTTCTATGTTTCATTTTGAAAGTGTAACTGAACATGCTGAGGTTAGAAGCTGATTGGTTAACATGCACAGCTGTTCCAGATGCTATCTTAGTAAATTGCCCCAACGTGTTTGTTGATCAACTTGGGTTAGCAAAGTTTATAAAGTCATCGGTGTTTGACCAGGATCAACCCCTTCATGATGAAGGTAAACATAAACGTTAAGGCCTGAACCCAGTTTTGCAACTTTGGCATGTAATAGTAAAACGACATATCTTTGCAATGACTTAATATATACAGGAGTGTACTGGACAGTTTGGGCTTTCATTTGGTGGTAAATGTTTAGGGATATCCTCATTTTTGTTTTATTATCAAAGAGAAATTGACCCAAAATAGTAAAAATTATATGATTTTGTTTTTCAACTTTAACCCTAATAATTCTTGGTTATGCCATGACCCACCACCAAAAGGAAACTCAAGATAAATTCTCCTCCTGACATTCATGGGGATACAAGATATGTGTTCTGTAATACATACTGGCACTCGCACTTTACCTAAAACACACTGACACTGACACTGATACTAACATGAACCTAGATCAAGCCCAATCCAACTATTTTATCTTTTTATTTTCTTTTTTACACACTTTTCTGTACATGCTTCTCCACTCTCAGAGATACATTGGGGGAACACTGTCTGAGGCAAGTTCTATACCAACTGGTACATTTGTCAATAGTAACCAATTGGCGTTTCATCTTTTCTGCACAGCTTAGAAAATGAATATCCAAAAGCTGATTGGCTGCCCTCCAGCAGCTGATACAAAGTTTGTCTCGGACGCTAATGAATTCCCCCAATTGTGTCTCTTTCTTGTCAAAGAGAATAAAGAGATACAGGGGACGTTTTATTAGTGATTGCTGTAATTATCACAGTGATCACATAATTTGTTAGTCTTGAGTCCAGGAGCTGTTAGTGGTAGCTCAGTCTCTGTGCTGGGGCGTGTGATTGATGCTACATTTATTTGGCAGCGGGAAGGGGTTAAAATGCTTGTATGTACATTTTTCAGTGTAGAGGAGGAAAGGTTAATAACCCCCATCAGTTTGTTTTTGCGCTGTCTGTATCCCATTAGGCCTCATTCACACACAACGCAAGCAAAATTGTATATTGCGTTAATACGAGCATATATGCGTGCACTATATGCAATCCCAGAAAGCATCACTCGTAATGGAATTTTTAATGTGCTGTACGCATGTACGTGCGCAGAAATACGCTGCCCGGACGCATCTGTTCCATTCTGTTTTTGCGCATATATACGGCTCCATACGCGGCTGTGTGTATGGAGCCATTTATTTGCATATGTTGCATATGGTACAATACGCACATACGTGCGGCAGTGTGAATGAGGCCTTGGAGAGATTTCCTTTCACAGTCATCTGTGGAAGAGGCGTCTCCATTGGAAGCTTTACTCTCCTCTCTAGTTAACATTTGTAAAATGTTGGTTCCCCCCCTTGCTTTCTGTGTCGTGACAATGATTGCTAGCACAAATAGAGCGGCTGACTGATTCCTACTTGATTTACCTATTTTGCGTTATCTGCAAGTACTGAAAAAAAGCAGTTATTTTTTTTGTGTTCCACCCAATTTTACACCATTTAAATAAGGCTTTAGATCTAATCTTTGTAGTCCTGTTTACTCATTAGTAGGCAATATAACAATGGGATACTTGACTTCCTTGGTTTGTATATAGAAAAGTGGTGTCAGAGCTTCACTAGAACATCTGCTTTTTAAGTACAAAAAATAATACACAATTCTCAATATTATGTTTAGACTGTTATACAATGTAAGCGTTTATCAAGTTCACTCGTTACTGTTACATAACAAGTAATAAAATGTTACTGAAAGTGATTTGTGACCTTTCTCCCACACTTATGGCTATTTCAAATGCTGGTATCATTTATGAAAGTTTTTGATAAAAAAAGGAAAGCAAGTGTCTGCCGAAGGGAGAGTCCATTATTATCATATGCCTACAAGCATTTTTCATCTCCACCCAGGTCTTGCGTTTAAAACAAAAACTCTTTTACTTTATTAGAAGTTATTACTGATAAAGAGCTGGCCATGGCTCGAAAGTCCCTATTAAATGATCGGAGCCATCGTGTTTTGTACGATCATCTATATGATATAAAGGGAAATAGCTTCTTTTTTTTCTTTCAAACAGAAGAATGCTTTTACATATTTGAGGATCCATTGACTGGTCAAAGCAGGTTTCATGCTGGCACTAGGTGAGGGCTTAGGTTCAGAATTACAAGTTACTGTTATCATAGAGAAATGCATATATGGACCATGTAGAACATTTCGTGGCAGCACACTTCTAAAGGATTTTATGCAATTTAGTCTTTTTTTTTTTTTTTTTTAAGCTGTCAAATTCATTTTAGAACTGGCCGGCCGTGGTCAAATGTTGGTGCTTTGTTGGAGTTGAATCCCATATCTGCCCCTTGTAAGCATTTGACTGACAGGGAGGTGGTTGGTATGCTTACTATGTACATAGCCAGCCTTTGCAAAGCCATCCTTGCATAAGATGGCTAGCAGTTTTCAGTAAGGCGATAAGTACTTGTTTAAAGATTCTATTAGGATGGCATGACATTTGACTTGGCAGCATAAAGGTGAGGTTTTGCATAATGTTTCTCTTACAAGTCTTGCAATGCAATAGTTTTAGAGCCCGATACTGACAGTTTAGGGTACAGGTATCTAACCACTTTAAAACTACAATTCCCAACATGCAGTGCAGCAGCAGCCACACAACCTCGCTGTCAATTCATACTATTTATTACTTTTTGTGAGCCTGTGGGAGGATCATGTAACAGTCAAGCAGGTTGGCCTCAGACTGTCAGGTTGGCAGTGGAAGGAATAGCTGAGTATACATAGAGAGATAAAATCCGCCTCTATTTGCTTTTTGACGTGCACTGTTCCACGCCATCACCAGTGGCAGCCAGGAGTACAGCGTACATTATTTGCTTTAGATGTTCCAATTAATTTGCAGAATTCACATTTCTTTTACCATCCAGAGTTCCTGTTTCACCACACTATGAATCATCCTTTTACTGTTTGCTCCGAGCCTTATTTTTTAGCCTTCTTTAATAACCAGTAAGTAAATATGATTTAAAAAGTTATTTTTTTGCTGCATTTAAAACGTTTTTCCTCTTTATCTGGATTGTCTTCAGTTGCTGCATTGATTTGCAAATGTGGTTTTTAGATGCAGTATCATGTAACCTTATTCGCCATTTTCAATTTGTATTAAATCCCTCCTTCATGTACACATCCTGGTTGGATAAGAAATCACCTGAGCAGTTTAAATAAAGAATAAATGTTATCTTTGGCTCATCCACTTTGTAAACAAGTAGAAATTTTTTTAGTTAAATTAGGAGACCCAGCATGTAATAAATACATCCGGAAAAACATTCAATGAAAAAGATAAATACATTTGGCTATAGACCTGCAAGTGCAGTCAGATGCACTGGTATTATCTGACTGCACTGAGGTTTCTGTGTTGGCTGGCTGTACCATAATATACAAGCTGGGTTAGCTCATGTATATTTGTGGGATTGCTCATTGATATAGGTAATCCAAGATATAGGTAATCTGATAATCTTTCATTTCAATACTGCATCATATTTAGTGACTTGGTGCCTTTGGGCTAAAAATACTTCTTCATGTGTAGAATGCAGCAACAAGTAACATCTGAAATTTACCTCCATTTGTTTAAGGTCTGTTCAAACAATGAAAGGTTATTTCTAGTTAGTTTATTTGTATGGGGGGGGGGGGGGGGGATGGCAAAAAACTGAGTTGCCAGTCAACACAAAACGGGCACATAAGAGGTAAAAGTCAAGTAAGTGGTCAATATAAAGATACTAGTAGCATATGCTGACAAAACAAATGTAACAATGACAGATAAATCAAGTAAAGTTGAGATCAAGTGAGGGCTAGTTCATCCCAGACCTGCATGCGTCTGCGCAGCTGTAGTGCGATCTGTTTTGCTGCGATTTTAACAAGATTTATGCAGTGTTTTTTGTTGTACTTAAAATGGGTGTTCAGGTGCTTTCCGATGCGTTTGCCTGCGGGTTTGATGTGTTCCGCCACGATCCTATGCAGCTAAAATAGGGAAAGCAGTATTTTTTTCTGGAACGGACTGCTCTGGTGTGAACAGAGCACAAGAAATCCCGTAGGAAAGCATTGTGATGCGTTTCTGGTGTGGTGTGAACTGGCCCTAACTGGGCAAAAAATACTAAGTAACTATTCCCAGATGTATTGAAAGGTGCTACTGCCCCCATAAGAAAGCTGTATAAATGCAAGAAAAGTGTTTTGTTGACCTTGATAATTAAGTCCACAGTGGCAGGTCCCATATTTCTGTCATGTCAGGTGATGTGCATGTTGGGAGATGGCATGCAATGCTTCATAGCTCACTTATTTGTATTTATTTAGCATGCTATCCCCATCTTCTTGCCTCTAATAGTTTGTTGAACTGTAGGTTTACTTTTCCCCCCCTTGCTTGTCCTTCCATTCTCAAGCAGTAACCTATGGCAGCCAGTCTGATTTTGACAGATTGGTATAGTCGGTAAGATGTAAGAGAATGCATTGCTGTACTTGTTTTTGCTTGTTGCTCTTTTCCTGTTTAGTTTAAGGCCATGGGTACATTCTTAATATTTTCATTTTTTTTTTTTTCAGGATAATATCTGCAGTTTTTTTTAATTCAAGAAAAAATTGGGGACACTACAGCAAGTAGAAGAAAAACATGCAGCCACCTCCTCCGGCTGGCCCTTCGGGGATGGGTGGACCTCCTCGCATGGGAATGACCACTAATGCATCCTGGCGTAAAAGAACTCCTACTCCAACAGCAATGGCAGCCCCTCCAGTACAGCCGGTCACTGACCCCTTTGCATTTAGCAGAGTGACTCCTCAAAGTTTTGCACCAGGGAATGCACCAAAGTCAAATATGTTGGCAATGCCCAGTTCATCTCCCTCACTGCTCCCCCGGCCTGGCCCCCCCATAGCTGCTGATGATAAATCCCTGGCTGGTGATCAAGCATACATACCAAGTTCTACTCCCCAACCTGGTGCAGGAGCAGCCGTGCACAGCAGTGTGTCTTCTCCGTTGTTACCTAGTGGGCATTTTCCGAACAGCATGGCTTCAGTACCTACCATGCCACTGGGTTTGGCCCGTTCTGCTCCTGCATCTCTTCGTAATGTTACAGGAGGACTGGAAAATCCATCAATGCCAAGTCAGGGAAGATCTCAAAGTAGGCAAAATGTAAATACAGACGTGGGTAATGGAAGCAATGTTTCGGCACCATTACAGTCGTATCCTCCCTCATCTTCTCATCAAACTACGGCACCTTGGGGATCCACTCAGGTTGCGCCACCTACCTCCAGTCAGAATTTCCCTCCAGCTGCTCAGCACGTCGCTTACAATGCACCCTATTATTCCCCTCCATATTTAGAAGTTTCCCACCTGCCACCCCAATCCAGTGATCAAACCTATTTATCAGCCCCACAAAGGACTGCTCCAGCGCCTTTCCCACTTACTGGTGGTTCCAATCACATCCAACAGCAAAATCCTTCTCAGTTCAATAACAGCATCCCAATGGATTATATGCAAAACCAGAATATTGAACATAACAGCTGGTTTAGTCAGGCCTCTCAAGAGCCACAGCAAAACCCACCATTAACCAGTTCTACCATTTTTCCTCCTGGAGCTCCATTACCGATGCCTGAAAATAAGCCCCAAAGTGAATCTGCGAAAATTCCAGGCAGTGAAGTTAATTCAGGAACAGTATCAACTTTTTTTAAAGGGGAAGATGCAGAAAATGTTGAAATCCTCTCAACTGAACAGCAGAAAAATGCTAGTTTACATGCAAGTCATGTTCCCTATCAAAATACTGGGTACTCAGCAATATCTTCTGCACAAGCTCAGTCAGCTGTTTCAAACCCCCAGACTATTACATCGCCATTTCATCCTGCAGTTACAAATACTCCGTTATTAGTATCTGATAATTCCAGTGGTTTTCAAGATCCACATGGACTTTGGAGAGTAGACAGCAACGATAACCAACCCACAGAAGCCAAAGGTGGGTCTGATCAGCCCTATGAAAATGTGGAAAATGTTGAGTGTGTTCAAAACCTTGAAGTTTTACCGAATGAACCTCTCAACATTTTTCCAACTACTTTAAATTCAGTTGGGTTTAGGTATGGATCAGTACCTGTTGCAACTCTTCCCAAGAATGTCCCCAGCCACACTGAAGGAGGTCCAAACTTGGAGGCCCCTGAAGGGTTGTCGCATCCTGTTCGTTCTGATAGCGTATCTTCAAACTACAGCAATTTAAGTCACCGAAGTCTTCCCATTTCCACAAGACCTCAGGAATTGGTAGGCACCTTTATTCAGAAGGAAAGTGGAAAACTTGAGAATGAAAGCACCATCCGTTTATTTAACCAAATTGATTCTTCCCAGTTGGGTAAAGACTCAAATATACAAGCCATGGGGCAGAAAGCTTTCCATGGTAATTTGTCTCAGCCACCAACCCCAAGTCCACCAAAACCTACTGGCATATTTCAAGCCAGTGTAAACAGTTCTTTTGAACCTGTCCGTTCATTCGTAAAACCAGTTGATATAGACCAGTCAAAGGTAGTTGGTGACGTTCCAGACGCCAACAAACATGTATCAAACACTTCCAACAATGCCATGCCAGCAGCTTCTCCAGGAAACTTAGAGCAGCCTCCTGATAATTTGGAAAGTATTTTTACAAGCAATGCTAATGCTGAGGTTTTTAACGTAACCAGCGGAAATGCTTTTGGAGTTCCATCCTTTGATAACCTGTTACTGGATAAACGTCCTTCGTCAAGAGCTCATGGGTCAAATAAAAAGTGTGAAAGCCCTGCAACTACTTTGTGGGCTCAAGGAGAACTGCCCAATTTTGGAGGCAACGTCCTACTGGCTCCACCAGCTCCTGCTGTTTATGTTCCTCCCAAACCTCAAAATGAAGTGATACAGCCTCCAGAAGACGTGGCTTTGGATACACAAAACAGCAGGCCTGACCCAGCACAGTTTCTGACAATGCCAGAGGAGAACACCTCCTCAGAAAATCTTGAGAACCCTCCAAAAATAGGAGACGACGAACATCCTCCATCACAGGCAAGTTCTGGATATGCCAGTCTGTTGTCTTCGCCACCCACAGATTCCTTACATAATCAGCCTGTTTTGATTGCTCAGCCAAACAAAAACTATAATTTGGCACAGCCTATAAATTTTTCTTTATCTTTGCCCAATCAAATCAAGAACTTTAATTCTGCAAAAGATCCCTCAGCTGCTGACAAACCAGCTCTTACTAGTAATTATATTCCTGCTCCAAATGCTTCTCTTGCTCTGTTTCAGCCTGGTCCTCCGCTTAAAGTGCCTAATACTCTCAATAATAATTTGCCCCCTGGCAGTGATCGCTTTTCTGATTTTTTTCCCAATCAGCCTCAAAATGTTATGCCATCCTCAACCAATCAGATTCCACTCAATTTAGTCACAGATGGGCAGAAAAATAATAAGGCAGAAAGTGTGGCAATTGAGTCATTGAAATCTTCAGTTCCTGTATCGGGGTCTCATGTGTCTGTGGGAAATGCTGCTGGGACAGTTGTTGTCCCAGGCAGGATGGTTAGCGGTCATATGGAGAATGCAGGGGCTCTTGATTTTACAGTGCCTCGTGCATCTGCCAATCAAAATGCTAATGTTCACGCTCCAATCCAGAATCTGCCTCTTGCAGGTGCCCCTAACTATTCAAATCAGTCAACCAATGTCCTAAATTTCCAACCTGGGGCAGATATTAACAAACAAGGTTTTTATCAGCAGGTTACTAAAGATGTCCAACAGCAGCCCACCCTAGGGACTTTGCAGTCTGGACCAGGGCCTTCTCACGAGTACATGACTCCTGTTTCTCAGGCTCCACCCGGAGCTCCTCCAGGGCAGGTACCTCCTGGGTCTATGTCTGCGACTTATCCTCCACAGCCGGAACTTCCGGTACCAAGTGTTCAGCATCCTACAGATCTACGGTACAGCGGCAGTTCAGAGCCAGGACCTAAATATGAATCTTCCGAGCAGCCACTTCACCCTCCTGTGTCAACCTCTGCTACACCAGCAAACCCAAGCTACCCTGTAGGGTACCCAGAACAGTCAAGACCACCTGCATCTGAAATGCCACAGCAAGCAGATCCTTATTACTACTACAGAGGGTATGGTACATACCCATCAGCTTACCCACAGCCGTATCCACCTGTGGATCCTCGAGCCTCTCATCTTTACTATCAGGTAAAAGCTTGTTATCTTACCCTTTCCGGAATCTTGCACAACTGTTTATATCTGTTTGGGAGGTTTTGAGGGTTTTCCACTGAAAAGGTTGGTGTTTTTCTAAAATGAAAAAGCTAACCCCTTTCTTTATAGAAAACACCAACCTTTTCAGAAGAATCTCTCAAATTAGAGTAATAGGATTCTGCAGAGCTCTAGAGAGGCAGAACCAGCTGTCATTTAGCTAGTGGGGTAGATCCCAACAATATTGTCAGGATCCATCTCAGCTGCAGCGTGTAACGCATTCAATGGTGCTAGTGGTTCTCACCGAATGTCGTCTCTCGATGATGTATTACAGCTGCGGAATGAGACTGCCCATGACATGCAAGGAATGTTCACTGGTGATTCAGCATAAATGATAGGGTATTAAGTTATTAGCATCCAAGTCCTGGATCTGTATTATGTCATACAGTCCATCTAATACACAATGGAAATGTTCCATACAGAAATCACCCAAATTGGGTTTAAACTACAAGTCCTCTTGAGGAAGTTGAACTGTGTGTGTACCACTTTAAGTAGGCAGTTGCCACATATGACAAGTGCATGCTGATTTGTGGCTACAATATATGAAGAGGTAAAGTATACTTGCGGTTAGTAGTGTTGTGTAGTCTGGAATTGCTATAAAGTTCACTTGCAAGAGAGAGAGAGAGAGAGAGAGGTTCCTCCAAGGTGTCTGTCGGGGGCTCGAGATTCTCCCAGTGGAGAGGCAATTCAATGGATATCCAGGTGATAGAGTACTGGTGCCTTTAAGGAGAGCTGTGTCAGAGGCCAATGGCAGGTAAGCTGTGGTGTACTCTCAGGGAAGAAGGATGGATGGCTGAGGGTGAGCAGAAATGCAGCAGTCTGGAGGATGCTGAGAGGTGCAAGTCCTGAGCAGGCAATGGGTTGTGCAAACAACAAAGCAGGGGAAGTGCTCAGCGTCATATGTTACTAGGGCGCTGTGCATTTCAAACTGACAGCCGGGGAGGAGTGACGGGACGTCAGGGAAGTGGGCGGCGCTGGACTTCGTACACGGAGCGTGACCGAGTAAGTATATTACACAGCGGGGCTGTGCACTGTCAGCATATAGCGGGCAATAGCCTGCTGTATGCTGAGTTTTGGGTCATAGGACTGCATTCGTAAATTGTCCTCCTGTCACCCTAAAGAGAACCAAAAAAGGTTTGTCCTAGTTCTCTTTTAGCTTCCACAATAGCGGCACAGCAGTAAAAACCTGGCAGAGGTTCTAACCCTTCACCGCTTTCTCCAGAACTGAAAAAAAAAAGTTTTGGCTTAATTTCTGAATTATCTGTTTATCAGCTCCCTATGTATTCTCTACATCACTAAATGTATGGGGGCTAAAACATTTGGGGGCCTAATTCCACTTTATATGACAAGTGGGTTGCTAGTGCTGTATAGCATAAAGAGCTAAAAGGGAGCAAGAGTTCCTTTTCAAGCTAGGATCTTCCTCTCTGTTCCCAACAAAGCTCTATAGAATTTGTATGTTCTCCCCCAATGTAGGTTTCTTCCAGTTACAGAAAACTTTCTGTAAGACTAATAGGTTAAATGTCTCTTACCTACATTTCAGGAGAGTTTAAAGAAGATTTCTGGGATTTTGTCAAACTTACCCTTGCAGCGGGCAAAGCTGCGTACCCGCACGCACGGGTGCTTGCTTAGCTGATGGAGGCATCCGTGCAGGGGTCAGGAGGGAGAGTGCTGCGGGGAGCCACTAGAAAATGAGGAATTAAACATTTTTCATAAACACCAAACGATTTCTTGTTGTATGGGCCCCATATTTATGAAACAAATACATAAAAATGAAGCTTTAATATCACTTTAAGGAAACCATATATAATGTGCTGGTCACATGGTGTTCTTTTGCAGGACTCCTATGGAGCTTATGATCCAGCCTACAGACAATATGCTAATAGTGGAATTGTGAACCCTGGAAAGTACCCATACCAAGAACCGGAGCGACCTAGCTCAAGATCTAGCCACTGCTCAGATCGACCATCATCAAGGTTTGTCTTTCTTTGAACCGCAGTTTTTCTTTCAAATAAAGAATGGCTCTGATTTTTCCCTTGATCCTGAGCAGCACTGTAATACTGCTGGCGACGTTAATTACATTAGAGCAGGGGCGCCCACAATTTTTCGTCTGGAGATCTACTTTTCAAATGACGAGCTCAATGAGATCTACCAAGGGAAAAAACACCTGCATTCAGGGGGGGGAGGGGGCGTCGCAGTGCATCGAAGTCAATGGCACCGCAGCCACGCCCCCAGTGCAATTGCCGCAACAGGAATGCAGGCACATTAGTGTCTGCGTTCCGGTCTGCACTAATGCTGCATTTTTGGATATTTTTGCAGATCACACTGAGGGCGGGGGAGCCAGCCGGCTTGCGCTCCAATGCGTTCTAGAGGCCGAACACTCTGGAATGCAGACTTTGTGATGTGAACCGGCTCTCTCTCTCTCCTCGTGCTTCCTTCTCTCTCTCTCTCTC